TCTTTCCCCAAATGCCACAGAAGAACCTGCAGCTGGTGGTTTCCGGAAAGGAAGCAACTTCATCACACCTATGAAGGAAATGTTTAACCCTTGACTCAAAACTCACTGCTGCAGAGGACCAGAATAAACCAGCACATACCCATCAATGCGTTTATACAGTGCAGCTCTGATGGGCTCTGCTGCCAGGAACTCCTCAGAACGGGTGGAGAGCAGTGCCAGTGCCTGTGAGACTGTTGGACAGGGAGCAGAAGGGTCGCAGTCCTGCTCTGGAGTCTCTGACAGAGGAATGATGTGCAGCTCTCCTTTGTAAAAGAACACCTGGTAGATAGCAATGTTCTCATCAGGCAGGGGAAGAACAGATTAAGCAGAGGAAAGTTTGATTTCATAGACAAATGCATTTGTTTAAGCACAGGGAATGTTGAAGCATAAATAAAGAAAACAAACAGGACTAGCAGAATTCTCTTTAATAAGTTATCTGAGGTAAACAGAAATGCCAGAGACCACCATCCAGCCAGTAAATAAACCCCCTATTTTAACTGCAACAATTTGGGTCAAATACATCTCGTTTCCTTAATAACACCAAAGGTTTCAACTAGAGATTTGCTTCAGGAGAATCAGCACAACCTAACTGCACAGGGACTCAAAAGCATTTTTTCGGGTGCTGATCTTAAGAAAAACCCTGAATGTAACATCTGTTCCCCCAAGGAGAAGGAAAATGTGGCCCTGACAGTGCAGATATAGGTTTGCAATTCATTTTTGTGTTGCATTTATCCCTTTTTAAGAGTCTTGGAGTAGGGGAAAAGTAATTAAATGGATTTTTGCTCATTAAAAAGTGAATTATTTCCATTGAAATCCACTGCTAAGAAAGTCAGTGGCATAGCTACTAGCAACCATCCACATCCAGGGGAAGGAGTCTGCTCACTATTCCACCTGTGCCAGACCCAGTCGGTCTCCCTGGAGAGTCAACAACACTCCAGCCTGTAGCATTCCCTGCTCCAAGGGCAGCAAATCCTCTTGCCCAAACACTCCAGAACATGGTAAAAAAAAAAAAATCCAAGTGGCTACAGCAGAGCTAGAAAGTTCAGGTGGATCTAAGGGTGCTCCTGAGAAGAGCAATAAGGTATGTTTGTACTACTCTGCCAAATACATTCCACAGTTCCCATGTTATCCAAGCTTTCCTTGCACTCTGGTGAACCAGAAAATGGAAAGCTGAGCAAACTCAGTGATTTAACAGCTCAGTAAACAACTTCTAGATATCCCTACAGCAGTTTCTCAGGAGACACTTACTCTGCACAACCATCCTGCAAGAGCAAACACACAAATCAAGTGTCAGGGGTTTGCAGTGGTTCAGCCTCTCATTCAACCACCACAGCAAGCACAAAGCAGTTCATTCACACCAGAATGAAAATGGACTGCTAATTAAACAAGTCTTGAGCCCTGAGCAGAACTCCCTAAAGGGCAGACAGCACTCTGGATTTTCATAGGCAGTCACACCACCTGGCGAGAGGTGCAAGAGAAGACTCCAGCTGCTACGTAAAAGGCCGCTGCGAGCCCCTTTCCAAGTGTACACAAAGTTTTACTCACTCTGTTTTCACTGTTCTCAGGATTCAGCCACTTGGGGAGAAAATCAGCTGCTTCTATCAAGAGAAACTCTCCATCGTTGTCATCGATCCTGAGCAAGGAGAAATTGTTGCTTACCAGGGGAAGCCTTGCAGAGCACAATAAGCATAGAATCACAGAACGTCAAAGGTTTGGAATAGAGTTTAGAGATCATCCAGTGCCAACCCCCTGCCCTGGGCAGGGACACCTCCCACCAGAACAGGTTGCCCAAGGCTTCAGCCAACCTGCCTCTTAATACTGCCACGGTTGGCGCAGCCTCAGCCTCCCTGGGCAACTTGTGCCAGTGTCTCAACACCTTCACAGGAAAAATACTTTTTCCTGATACCTACTCTAAATTTCCCTCTTTCAATTTCTCCCCAGTGCTCCTTGTCCTGTCCCTGCAGCTCCTAACACAGAGTCCCTCTGCAGCTTCCCTGAGCTCCTTCAGATCCTGGCAGGTGCTCTGACGTCTCCACACAACCTTCTCTTCTCCAGGCTGAACAGCCCTAACTCTCTCAGCCTGTCTCCACAGGGAAGGTGCTCCAGCGCTCTGATCAACTTTGTGGCCTCCTCTGGACTTGCTCCAGCAGTTCCACGTCTTTCTTGTGTTGAGAGCACCCGAACTGTGTGCAGCAATGTGCTTCTAATTCCAGGCCTGCTGAGGCTTAACATTTATAGAATCACAGAATGGCTTAGGTTGGAAGGGACTTTAAAGCTCATCTTGTTCCAACCCATGCCATGGGCGGGGACCCCCTCCACTAACCCAGGTTGCTCCAAGCCCCATCCAGCCTGGCCTGAAACACTTCCAGGGATGGGAAAACACCTCCAGAGGCAAGGACTATTACACACAGGCCCTTCAAAGCAAAGGCATCATCCAGGCAGCAGCAGGACGTGCCTCACCTGGCCGCCAGCCCGGGGAACTCCCTGGTAATCTCTCGGATGAGGTAGACGATGAACCACTCATCCTCCACATTGTCCCCAAACTCTGTGGTGCCGCCGATGTGTGCTGGGACCTCACCTGGGCAGGGGACAGAGAGAGGAGAAGCAGCTCAGCAACCCAGAGCACTCCCCTCACACGTCTCCACCAGGTCCCTGCTCAAATGTTCCCTTCAGGTACACCCTCACAGCCTCCATCAAACCCCTCCTTACACACCACCAACAGATCTCAGTCATTCCCCCAGGGTCCCTCTCAGTCATTCCCCTCGGGTTCTCCTCACATTGATACCAAAGGGTTAACCTGCAAATAGCCTTAGACAATAACCAAAACAAAGTGTATAGGACATGGTCACTGGGTTAGAATGGGGGATTGTATGTTTTGGATAATAATTAAAACCAGGTGTGTAGGATGTGTTTACTGGGCTAAAAATGGGGGAACTATGTGTTTCAGACTCCATGCTCATGGGCAGGAAGGAGAGAATGGATGGATGGGACAGAAGAAAGGAAAACCAAGATGTACAGGGAGGGCAGACAAAGTTCACAAACTGAGCGGCTGGGTGGTGGCAAAAGCAGAGCCCTGGAACCCCCTGGGTCCACCACCTCAATTTAGTGAGCATGTATGATAGTCTAACGAGGGGAGGGATTAGGGTAATGATTCCAGTGAAAGGGCTAATCTATATGTATGGAAATTACGGAATACATATGATTTGTGTGTATAAATGCTGGAGTGTTTGGAGCCGGGTGCTCCCTGGTGGAGCATCCCCAATACATCCAGCCCTGCAATAAATTATTAACACTAATTTGGCGTTAGGGAATTTTCCTCACGATTTCAGTGCCACGTTCCCCTTCTGGGATTCCCTCACCTCACATCCCCAGGCTC